ATGGCATCTCTGGTTAAGGCCAGCAGTGTCTTCTGTGTGGCCAGGTCTCAGCTCCTGCCTAGAGGATGTTCGCACCTCAGTTTCTCTTTTTCTGGACTCAGTTCCAGGACTATTACCTCAACTTGTCCATCTACAGAACCAGTCTTCATTTCTAGGGAGAACAAAATTTCAAATGGGATTTTTGGGGCACCTGGGTGGCTTAGTCAGTTAAGCATCCGACTTTCGCTTAGGTCATGATCTCACAGTTCGTGGGTTCGAGCCCTGCGTCGGGCTCTGTGCTGACTGCCAGCTCAGAGCCTGGAGCCTATTTCAGAGTCTGTATCTCTCTCTCTCTCTCACCCTCCCCTGCTCACGTTGTCTCTCTCTCTCTCTCTCCTAGAAATAAAAATATTTTTAAAAAATTTTCAAATGGGATTTTTAAAAATAAAACAGAAGACATAAAACCAACCAAGCAAAAACCCTGTAGGTTCTTTTGAGTATCAGATTTTGACGTTTGATCTAAAATTAATATAGAGTCCAAATTTTTCTTTTTGGAAGTTCCCTCTGAACAATTCTGTTTTCAGTGTAACATTTAAAGGCTCATATTCAGAATTTAGCATTTGTTTAATGAGTTCTTATAGAACAGTTGTACTCAGGAGAGAAGAAAATGGATCAAGGTAATTGTTTTTCTGCTGTACTATTTCTTCTTCACCTGCAGAGCTGTATACTCTTAAAGCCAGGAAGTTCTAAGGTAATTTGACTTTTTAAAAAATTATCTCAGGGAAGTTTCAGAGAACAACACTAGTAAACACAATTTGTGTTTTAAATTTAAAAGATATTTTCTTAAGTTAACAAAAAGACTTTCCAACTTTTTGGACCTGTCATAAGAAATGTATTTTACATATGGGTATACTACAGTTCGTTTATCCATTTATCTATTGATAGAGAACTATTTCATTACAAAAATTTTTTATTATTGAAGTATAGTTGACATACAGTGTTATGCTACTTTCAGGTACAAACATAATGATTCGACAATTCTATATACTATGCAATGCCTACCTCAATAAGTATAGATAGTTACCATCTGTCACCATGAGAACTATTTCATTTTGAGGAGGATTTTATTCAGAAAATGATTGTAAACTAAATGATCAGGCACACCTTTATAGGTTTAATTGTATATATATAATTAGTGGAAACTAAAGGCTTTTGAAGTAATCCGATATCAATTTATAAAAGCCTGAGTATGAGAAGTACTGTATATTTAGAAGCTCATGAAATAGTACTATGCCTGACCTATAGATCAGGGTTCATCTATACACAGATTGCAAGTGAAACCATGTGGGTTTGCCCCAGGGAGAGGGTGTAGAGGACCCTAGGACAAAGTCCTGAAGAACTTCAACATTTGGGGAAAAATAGAGGTAAAGGAGCCTCCAATTTCCTCCCTGGAGATGATGAAAATAAAAATCTAACTTAGGCAGTTATTTGAGAAGAAAACACCTCCTACTTTTTCACATAAATGAGACAACAGATGAAAAGCAACTGGTGCCTGGCTTGTAGGTAATGATAACTAATAACATTATACTGATGAAATGTCTTCTTAGTCTTTCTTTTTCTTATGCTATCACAGTTGTAAATTTCTGTACCCTTTGCTTTATGTTATGATCTTGTAACATCACATCCAGTATCACCTACTTTGAAATGAGCTTTCCCACCCTCCTAAAATATCAGTCTATTTTTAACTTCATTGTTGTTCCCAGACTTGACTAGCTCCTCTCATGATACCAAAGGAAACTAAAAGAATCTAAACTAGGTGGAGAGTAGCTAGAGGCACAAGCCAGACTTCCTGTGTGGCTGCAGTTCTGGCTGCACACTGGAGGATGTTCTCGCTTCCTCAGCTTGGAAAGGAATTAGCCCGAGATCATCAAGACAATAAGATTCTTTCCCTTATTATCTCTTTGCTTTGATATTGACAAGGAAACAGTTATTTCAATTCTTAAAAACAAGTGATTTCCCCCCCCCCTCCCATTTCTGGTAAAGAATAGTTGACAAATATTCATAACCCAACCTAAAAATAATTGTAGAAAATGACTTGAAAATTTTCATGAAGTTCTGGAGTCAGAAGTGGAAAATATTACTCCCTTTCAAAAAATTTCTTTGAATGTTTTTTAACGAACTCTGAAAAGTCATGACCACATGTGTACATTCACTTTTAACACAATTGGTACGATTATTTCTTCCTGGATCTTCTCAAAGAGCTGTTAAGATACAAATAACTTCTACATTTCATAACTTTGTTTGCTTTAGTCTTCCAGAGTTATCTTCATGCTTTCCTAAATTTCTCAAATCTTTCCACTTCTCAAGGGGGAAAAATGTTTCCAATGCTTTCTCTTATTTGACAATTTGATTAGTTCTGTTTTTCTGGAATGTCACATATTTGGTGTATTCCCACATATATTCCGTGTATAAAAATGTATTCTAGGTATGGGAATACAACATTCAGTGAAATTAAAATTACAGATTGGCATAGCATTTTGTGAATGTGTGCAAATTCTTTATTCCCTTATTATTGGCCGATTTGTTATAGACAGAGATTGAAACACAAAGAGATATAACTTATACTAAGCTACACAATTTAAAGTGATGCTGGAAATGAATGCTGTCACCTGAATCCTGATCCTGTGTACTTTTCACTGGGAAACGGTCAGTTCATGGTGTTGTGATTTTGTTCATATTGGCTATTGTCCAAATTTGGTGGTCAAAACAGGACAGAGTCTATGGAAAACTACCATTGCCTGTTCTCTTAGTAATTTAATACAAGAATTACTGGAATTTATGTGTATTTTCTGATCTATCTGGTGGAACATGCTTTCTCTTATGGTCAAGTTACAGAAAATAAAATGATTCAAAAACATAAGATAATAATAGCATTTGTTTTAAAGTCCTGTAAAAACCAGGAGTGATTAGTGAAATATTGGCATTCACTGTGACCCTAAACCTGAATTAGAACATGGAAAAGCCAATTAAGAGGCCTGAACCCAAGGAAAATTATGAAAAGAAATTGATGATTGTCACTATGATATTTTTTCCCTTTAAGGGGAGAAGGCAATTAGATGTAAGAAGGAAGGAAATGTTTAATGATTAAAATTAAAACTGAGGGTGCTTGGGTGGCTCAGTTGGTTGAGCATCCCACTTTTGATTTCAGCTCAGGTCATGATTTCAGGGCCATGGGATTGAGCCCTGTGTCAGGCTCCATACTTCGAACACTTCTTATGGTTTCTCTTTCTCTCTCCCTCTTCCTCTCACCCCCACTGATGCTCGCTCTCTCACTCTCTCTGTCTCTGTCTCTCTCTCTCTCTCTCTCTCTCAAATTAAAAAAAAAAATGAATGGGGGAAGGTGTTCCTAAATATTATGGGTGGGTAGTTTTAAATGCCAATGAGTTTTCCTATAAACTCGTGAAGAGTAATGAAGAGCTTAATGTGGGAAGAGATTTTTTTTTTAAACAAACATTGACATTTTAAAGACCTAACCATCTTAAATGGAATGACTATTAAAATGCAAAATTAGACTGAACAGAGGCATTTTGGGGATCACATATGAGTAGAATCCTAAGAGCCAGATAATGAATGACTCACATAATCTGAGCGGTTTGGGCTGACTCACATGTTTTGGAAGAAGGTGTCATCAAATCTCTGATTCTGTCAATGTTTTTCCCCTTTGTTCCACCTGTTAGTGCCAAACAAATCCTGAAATTCAGTGACTTTTCCAGCTCCAACTTGTCAATAAATCTTTCCAAACCACCAGTAAGGCTTTGAAATATATAGATAAGTATTTGGTATATCTGAATAATACTCGCTAAGAAACATGAGCCACATATGTAACTATGGAACGTGTAGGAGATCAGAATCCAGACAGAGCCTTGACAAGGTAATGGGAGAGCCAAGACTGGGTTTGGTTTGTCCGAGATGGAAGAAAGGAGGCTTCTTCATCCAATACTTCCTGAATGATGCTTTCTGGAAGATATTTTAAATCAACAAGTGTTATTTGGTACCAGGTGTAAGGAATATACAGAAGGAATCCTTGGCCTATGTCCTAGAAAGGCTCACAGCCTGTAAAGGAAAATGACATAGGTACTAAGTGGAACAATTTGATATATAAAAATATATCTAGGAGCAACATTGGGGACGGGGAGCATAGAACGGTCAGCTTCTTACACCTCTAGGACTGAGAAGCCCTCACAGAGGAGGTGGCATTTGGCTGGGCCTTGATGGATGATTGAAGTTCTAAATATCTAAATAGGAAAAGCACCTCACTCAGAGGTAGGAACCATATATAGAAGAAGGAGACACTAGAATACAGATGTTGGGGTATGTTCAGAGAATGGTTAATAATAACCAGTGTCACTGCAGCATTGAAGAATTAGGAAAAGATGAGATGGGAATATGGGTGGCTAAGATGTGTCCAGTCAGTGTAGCTCTCTTGTTCATATAATCTGTATCTTGGATTGGTTCTAGCCTCAGGAATATGTCTCACCCAAAAATTGCAGTTTATCTAAATCTGTGATATGGTTTCTTGGCAAAGGACCAATTTGGTGGTGAATAATAGTAATCTAAGAAAAGCTTGCAATCTTTTCTATATCTATCCCTGATCTCCTTTCCATTCTTTATATTCTTAGGTTGATCAGACAGCTAAGAACTTACAGTGCTGAGTCTTTGATAAACATCTGTCAAAAATAATAATGAATCATATGCACATGCACACATAGATTCATACATACAAATGTGGAAGCTTTCATTGCTTTTTAAATATTCAAATTTAACTGGTATGTTGCAACTTAAAAAATTTCATTCACTTGGGGACGCCCAGGTGGCTCAGTTGGCTAAGCTTCAGACTTTGGCTCAGGTCATGATCACACAGTTCATGAGTTCGAGCCCTGATATTGTTCACTTGAATGTTGCTAGGAGCATTCAAAGAGAAAAGTGATCTCCTTGACCTTTTGGGGTTTTTTTTCCCACAGGATTGAAAAAACGTACAAGGAAGGCCTTTGGAATACGGAAGAAAGAAAAGGACACTGATTCGACGTATGTACTTTGGGGCAGCACAGCAGCTCAGCTGCAGCTGAGGGACCACATGTGGCCGTGTGGTGTGGTCAGCTGCACGGCAGAATAAAGAGCCCATTAAGCCCCCTATTTGGCTAGAATCTCTGAAAGTGACAAAAGGGGAAAATCAACAGTTGTTTGGACACAGGTGAAACCAAAGAGGGCTACATTTACTGCTCATCCTTTAGCTTTTCATCCCATATATTTTTATCATGCATAAACTTGAGCACAATATTTGAGCACTGCACTGTGTCCTTGTCCTCCAAGGGATAAAATATCATGGGATAAAATATCTGCTGTACCAAAGAAATATCTTCCATATAACAAAATGACATAACATATTTGAAATGCCTCCTATGGTAGCTAGTGTTTAGTAACTGCTCATTCAATAGGAGTGAATGCTACTCTTACTATTACTAATACAAATTAGTGTGTGGTAAGTTCCTTATGAGCAGTTAAAAATGGAATTTCATGAAAATTTGAGGGTGGGGAAACTCATGTTTGGACAGGTGATCAGTGAAGCCTTAGAGAAGGAAGAACCTTGAGTTTGGACTTCAAGAAGATGAGGACATGCATCTCAGTGCAAAGGGAACAATGACAGTCAAAGCAGAGAGATGACAGTCAAAGCAGAGTAAAGTAGGTATGCAGGACCAGGTGGCTAAGACAGTTTGTCTACCTGACAGCTGCAGGTAAAGGTGGGAATGGGAGGTGAGGCTGGAAGGGAGACCAGGCCCAGAAAAGAAGAGCTTCAAGGACCAACGTGATGTGTCTGGGCTTCCTTCCTTAGGAATGGGCAACCTTGAAGCTTTGAAGCCTTTTAAACCAGATAGTGTTAAAAAAGTTTTGTAATGGGAAGAATTTTTTTTTTTTTTTTTGGTCTAGATATCACTTGTGAAAATCTCCTGTTCTTACCTTTTCCTTATGCTTTTTCTTTTGGTAAATAATTATTTCATGGAAATGACACTCTAGTCTTACAAGTTGTTTTAAATGATTGAATTAGGAATGCATTTCTGAGGATTATATCATTTCCACTAGTTCTTAAGAAATTGCCATTTTCTAAACACTAACCAGCCAGGTGTGATGGTTCTTTCACCAAAGTAAGAAGACTGGGGTTCTAGTTCCAGCATTGCCAAGAACTCCCCGGCCTTCGGAATACATTTTCCTTTCCTGGGCCTCAGTTTCCACTGATTAGACAGAATCTAATTCCCCAAAAGGACCAGACATCATGCCACTTCAACTGTCAGCAACATCTGTTGTCACCTACAAAGTGCCATGTGTTCTGTGGTCACTACTGGACACATCTCAGGAGAACATCACTAGCAAAAACCAAACCATGTTTTTCTGAAGGCAGTGTCTGTAATGGACTGCATGTAATCTCTGGTGTGTGAAGAAAGTTAAAAAGGAAAAAGAAAGCTCCCTCAAAAGGGAAAAAGGGTCAGACAACCTCTCCAGGACAGGCCACAGCTAATTTGCAAGTGGCCAAAACACTGCTCTTCCATCACCATTTCTAAAGGTGTGAAAATAAAGCAATTATTCCTCATGGCTTTGGGGAGACACCCCCATATCTCTCTGAAGCACCCTAATGAAAAATTTGCTTGTAGAATCCTAACCATCTCTTAACTTACCATCTGAGCACCCCAGATTACTTACTTGATAGAAAACTAGCCAGACACTTGTTCTAATATTTGTTTAGAGAGAGAAACGGAGACACAGAATCTGAAGCATGTTTCAAGCTCTGGGCTGTCAGCACAGAGCCCGACATGGGACTTGAACCCACAAACCGTGAGATCATGACCTGAGCCAAAGTCGGAGGCTTAACTGACTGAGCCGCCCAGGCACCCCAGCCATAAACTTGTTCTACCAGCAATGATGGTCAAAGGACATGCTGTTTAGTGTAAACCTTTGCTTTTCATGAATGCCTGCTCTCTAATTGGGTCATGCATCATTCCTGCAAAAGGCTGGGAAGATGTTCTGGCAATTTACTATTAGGTAATGCTTATGTTCATCTGCAATCATTGAAACCTTGTTGATGCAAACTGTTTTCAGGACTGTCACAACTCTGTGAGTGTTGCCAAGCAACCCGCTCCAGTTGCCGGCCAGCTCCAACTATAGCTGATTGAACCTCCTTAGTTAGTGAGTGAGGTTGGGACCAGAGCTTCCTGATTTGATCATCACTACAGTGGCTGATAGAGGAAAGGAGAGAGCCTGTGCTAAGTGGCAGGCCCTGCGCAGGGTATTTTTGTATTCACTGATACCCTTTTTAATCCTCACAGTGATTCAATCAGGTTAGAAATAATATATCAATTTTAGGAATAAGAAATCAGTGCCAAAAGGGATTAAGTAACTCTCTGAAGGCTATCTGGAAAATAAGGGTTGGAGTCAAAATTCTAGTCCAGAATCATGTCCATTCTCTAACACGCAGAAGAAAAAGACTGGATGGGCAAAATTATAATCAAGACCAGTAGCAGAGTAAAAGAGAAAAGGCCGTAGCTGCAAGAGGGAACTGACACTTCTTAAAATAGAGACAAAGGCTCATGGTAGATGATTAGTTTTCAAATAGAAGTCAGTAAATATAATGGGTTCACTACTAAAAAGAAAACAAAATTATTAAAAATATATGTATCACACTTGGAAAGGGGGGGGTGCTAGGAAATGCATTGAAAACACATGCTCAAGCGTCTGAGACTGCTAACATCTCTCTACTCCCCATCCTAGGTCACAACATTTCATGAGTATTTACTCTACTCGAGGCACTATTTCAGGCTCTTCACTTCTGTTAACTCAGTGAATCCTTTAATGGGCCTATGGGGTATATGTCATTTTCATAGCTATTTAGTAGATGAAAGTGAGACACAAAAGGGTTAAAGAACTTACCCAAGGTTATGCAGTTAGGAATCTAAGTTCACTGAATCCAGGCAGTCTGGAATTACCGCCAGTTGTCTTCACTGCCGTGCTTATGGCCACCAGACTAGGAAACACAGGCCCCATTCCATCAATGGTTAAGACAAAGGCAGAATAGGACACTACGCTGCTATGCCCAATTACAAGTGTTTCTGATTACAAGTTTTGAAATGCCATCCCTATAGCTGCGACATGCAGGAGATCAAGAGGCCTCTCATTTAGATCACCTATTGATATGCCCTTGTACCTGAACCAATAGTGGGCAACACACAGCCCGGCCTATCTCAGGACCCTTGTCTTCCTATCTGTAACATGCTGCTCCCAAAGACATCCCCGCAAGGATCAGTGCTTTTGGATATGTCCTACCCCACCGTTGGCAAATCATCTCTCTCTCAGTTCCCTCAGTACAGGTTTGCTCTCTTAGTAAGAAATGCTTATTTTTTTGCGGTGTATAAATCTGAAAAGGGAAAGTTGGCTTTGATAAGTGTGGGGCAGTACCTTTCCTCTATGCTTTCTGTCCACCCTTGGCTTATTGGTAACTTTGGTAACCCACTAGATTTACTCACCTGTCTCATTCTTTTTACGACGAGCATGTCTTCTTCATTGTTTCTATTCCCTGATTCTAGTCTAGTGCCTGGCCCATTGTAAGCACTCAATATTTGTTCAATGGATTACAACTTTTATCTTCCTGACCTTTGTTTTAGATGAAATTTCTTTGAACCAACTAATTCCCATAGCCAGGTTCAAAGACCCCAAGATTTCTGTCAGCTCCTATGGGTCTTTCAAAATCTGGGGCCTCGCTGCTTCTAGTCCATGTATCTCTGATTTACCTCTGCAGCCACACAGACACAGAACTGCTTATGAAAAATGATAAACTCCCATCAAGAGTTTTATAATCCAAATTAAATATCTTGCTAATTTGAAAGGGGTGTTAGCAGGAAAGGGAAATCATATCTTGGAGCCCAGAAGATATGCTCCTTACTCTCTGCATTTCTCTCCCTCTCTCTCTCTCTCTTTCTCTCTTCCTCTCTCCTTCTCCTGTCTCCTCCTCCCCCCACTATGAATCAATAAGGAATGTTGTTACTTGGTCCCACCTCCTAAAGAACATCCCCAACCATACCAAACTCCATAAGACTTCAGAGTCCACCTCAAGCGCTTATTAAGTTTTTCTTCCAAACAATGCAGGTCCTCATCTATGCATAATTCCAGCCCCCATGTTAATAGAATAACATTTTCCTAGCTCCTTACAGAGTGAACTAAAATGGGAAGTTATAAAGCTACAGTGACTACCCTCTAACTTCTCCTTTCCTCTGGCTCCTCCAGTTGTTTCCCAAAGAACAATAATATCACTTGCTTTGAAGTCTAACATGGCTGCAAGTAGTCAGTTTTGTGTTCTCAATGATGAGACATTATGAAAGAGAATGAGAAAAATCATAACCAATGAATATTTTTGAATAGTTAGTATGTGCCAGGAACTAATTAGAAGTTCTTTATATACTTTATCTTATTTCAACAGACTCCGAGAGATTAAGTAATGTATTCAAGGTCACAGAACTAATGAGTGGTGGAGTCTGGACACCCAGGTTCATCCTACTCTAGAACCTTTACTGCTAGGCACTGCAGCACAGTGTCACCATGGATGAACTGTCCTGGACTTAGGTCATCAAGTGAGCCATTTAGCAAGCATTGTCCTCCATTTTGTGCTCTCCTGAAATGAGAGGAGCAGTAAGTGTATAAACACAGAAGAAAATACAGATCCTCAAAGTAGATAGAAAAATACCATAGGAGTTCCTTTCTATAGGGAAAAATTCAAGACCAGTCACAAGGGAGAAGATGAGAGAAGGCAGGTCCGTTTACATTCCATGTGGTAGTTTAAATGGAGCCGGCTGAGTGGGACAGGCTCTTAATAAAAAGTGAACTAAGATACCGCGGCAGCAACTTGTGCCTTTTACAGTTTTTAATGAGAATCTGCCTCCCCCTGCCCCACACAGACACACATCCCATGCTCAAATATCATTCAACTAATTTGTTTTGAATTAGTTTTCATTATTACCAGGTTCACTGGGGTGGGAACACAGGAAAGGGGGAGAGGAGGTCGTTTGTGATTCTTATTGTTGTACATTAGTCTATGTAGCAAGAATGATTCATTTTCCTAATAGCTGCCAATTTCTTTTTGTTACAGAGGTTCACCAGATAGAGATGGAATTGTAAGTATTTAAATGACCATTTTCAGTAGGTTTGCATTTCAATATATATACTATGTTTAAATTTCTTAAAGCCCCATTTCTATTTTTTTTTTCTTTTTTGTAGGGAAAAAAATAGCTTAAATGGCTTTTCAGACCTCTTGCTGTTGTAATTTTCTGTAGTAATTGCATGGGACATATAAATGCAGTCTTGGTCAAGTTAAACTTATTTATTGCATTCACCTAAAACCCTGCCCCAGAGTAGGCAAGCAAACCTCATCAATATGGTGGGTCAAAAGCCAGACAGTTCCTGCAGGGGCTGCTACCATTAACTGTTATTTCATTTCCAATTTAATGATATAATAGCTCATTATGTGAAAATGTTTTTCTCCAACAGAGGCCACAAAGTCATAATGGAGCTTAGATCCAATAAAATTGAAAGAAGGTTTTCCCCTTTAGTTGAGTTGCAGATACATTTTCTATATTAAATTCCTAAGTAGGGAATGGTCTCCAAACCACTTATGCCTGAATTTACAGCCTGGAGGAGGAAAATGTGTCCACTGGGTTTAGGTTTAACAGTAACTCCGACTCCTTGCTGGCCACCAGATTTCTTGCTTTTTAAAGAAGTCTATGGCGCATGGGCTTGGATTTATCAGAGTTGAGCTTATGGGAGTCTGTACCAACTTCTAAAATGACTTCCTTTGAATCTAAATCAGAGTCCTATTCAGAAGGTTCAAAAGAACAGCTGTTACTGAAAAAAAAAAAATGGACTCACATTAGGCTCATTGGGCTGGAGTGGGAACTAAAATAAATCTGGTGGTTAAAAATATTTTTTAAAAAAAATCGTCCTTTATAATATTATACTCAAATTGAGGTGTTAATTGCAGCTATAGCAGAGAAGTTTTTTCTTCCATGCTTGACTCAAGGTTCTTAGCTTTGGGGTCCCTTTTGCATTCATGTAGTTCTCGCCATGAAATGTTAAGAAAATAGACTGAAATTGATCAGACATTGGGTAACACTATAATCAAGGCTCTATTCAGCAGGGGAAAAAAAAGACCCAGAAGACTCAGCTTCTCCTCACCTCTTGCTTCTGGCTCAGAGCCCTCTCGTTAACTCTGTCTCAGGTACTCTCTGATTCTGTCTTGGTCCGCTCCCTGGGTTCTCTAGTCCTCTTCATTCTGACCTTGGCAAGGCTCTGTTAGCTAGTCTCTTGCTTTCTGTCCCTGCTGCTCCCAAGCTAGACTGCTATTTCCTGCTTCTCTCCCTCTGCCACCTCAATCTTGTCCCTTTTTCTCTAATGCCCCGCTCCTCCTGCCCTCCCCCACCTCCTCACCCCCTACCCCATTGCCACCTCTGTGTTCTCTGCTCTTCTAGGGACTGCCAGTTTAAATCTCTGGGAGAACCTCAGCCCTGGCATGTAGGTACAGCCCTGGCATGCAGCTGGCAATTATGAGTATGTGCTGCATTCAAGAGCCCAGCTGTGATTCTGTGGACTCATGTACCCTAACTCAGAGCTTCATATCCGAGCTCCCTGAGATCTCTGACTCCGCCACCAATCCAAGTAATATATTTATCTGCACTTGCGCCCTCCTTGTTTCCTAATTGGAAATGCCATAAATATCACTGGTCATGATTTTAGGAAAGAGGAATCATTTAATTTTGACTTCTTAGGAAATAAAGCAGACCTGTTTGAAAAAGGCCGCATTCTACATAAATGTTCTCAGAAGCAGGGTGTACAGCTTCCTAGGTAATTGGAAATTATTAGCCAGCTGCTAGTTTTACCATTTGGAAATACTCCCCAAATTTCCCTCACTCACTATGGTCACCAAGTTTTGAGAATTCCTTATCATTATCAATACTGTAAGGAGGTCAAGTTTCTGTTCACATTCAGTCCTTAGAGATCTCAATTTACTTTAAACCCAAACTGATTTCCTTAATACCTTGTGTCTGTGAACCCAGGCACACTTCCTTTTATCCTTTACCTGGCTGATTCAACTCCCAAATACTCTTTTGAGTATCTGCAGTTGAAATGCATGGTTTCACTAATGTGGTTCTGCAAACTACAGGTGGTGGTGCACTCAATACTGATAAACAGCTACGCAAAAAGTTCAATGTACTGATGCTTATTTAATTTCAGTTTCTCAAAACTTAATGAAGCCCATCTCTGGTGACCATGTTTTCAGGGCTAGTCTACAGAGGCTTCATGGCAGGGCTGCATGTGTGAAGGTGGGCTTGCCTCGGTCTCCACTGCTGAATGTACCCCCAGCAGAGCTGTCTGGCATGATGTCTGAGACTTCAGACAGCTGCGAGTGACAATGCATTCTAACCCAGAGACCATCTCAAATTTGTGCAGGGTGCACTCAGACATTTTCTTAAGCAGATCAGATTTCCATCAACACAGGCTGGGGCAGGGAAAAGGGAATCACAGCCATTGCTGTGAGGGGGTTTCTGCTCATCCTGAACACATGTGCAGGAAAGGGCCCAGATTTGAAGCCGACAGCAGTTCATGCTGTACGTATTGACAGCCCTCAGGAAAGCTTGGCTAAAGAGGGGTATATGGTAGAGCTTGACTTTTTGGACTTCTGTTGGAAATATAACCATTTTTATTTAGTCTCTTTGGTGTGTCCTGGTGTCTGTTTTCTACCTGTAAATTAAGTCCTGGCTGAATGAGGACCAGATCCATGTAATCCCTAGTGCCTGGGATGCATCTTCCTACTCCCTCCTTCTCCTGGCCTAGCCACACTGGCCTGCTGAATAGAGCCTCATTATGGGCCCCAAAGTCCACTCCTTGCTTAAGGAACCCTGCCAAGATTGGTAGGCCCTACGATTTGGCCTAGAAACTGTTTCTTCTATGGTATGTTTGCTGACTCCATGTGATTCTTTATATGTGTCTTAAAGAACAAACAGATCCTTTAACAACTTTTTTCTACATGAAAACAATCAATTCCAGCAGCCCAGCCCACATGAACCACCCTACAATAACAAAGCAGAGTGTGCGCGTGAAGGAGGAAAAAAAGTTTCGGTAAGGAAACAGATTTTAGTTTAAAATTTCCAAGGGGTTGTAGAAACAGTGAGTAAAATCCCAACTTGAAATTTGGAAAAAACAGTGGCATTTATCTAACCAATCTAAGAAAAACTTTCTTAGCTATTTCCAAATTATTCTTGAATATCCAAGACCAATTTTAAATCAGCCATATGGACCTTTTATATTGATGTCTGAATACACTTTGAAAGACTGATGGGATATAAAAGACATGTGTTTTCTTTGTCTTAGACAAAGGATAGGGATTCAAATTTTTAAAGTAATATGCTATCTATAAGAAAACTTTGGCTATAATATAAACAACACCACACAACTTGAGTAGTCATTTATTAGGATAAACACAATCTTAGTAACATCAGGAATTTGGCAGGACCTTGGCTTGTGGGAACTAATATACTCAACCAAAAGACAGTGAGTCAGGGATGCTGATCCAGGCCCAGACTATACAGCAACTATTACCGTGTTGTCTGATACAGCAGCCACATGAGCTTATTCAAATTTCAGTTCCTCAGTAGCACCTGCCACATTTCAAGTACTCCATAGCTAATTGTGGCTGGTGGCTACTGTATTGGAGAGCCCACATATAGAATATTTTCATCTTCACAGATAGTTCTATTGAACAGTACTGTTCTATGGGATTATTTACAAAGAGAATCCTCTCTTGACTCGGTGCCAAAAAGATAATTTTTAAGTAGAATACCATGTATCTTTAATACTTTGTATCTAGGGAACACTACAGGGCCATGTGCTGACCTCAGAAAAGAGGAGCATTCACAGTAGAAATCGAGAAATTTGGTGAATGTGTAATTGAACACAGTTATTGATTTAGCCCATCATACTACTGGAGAGCAGATAATAAACCTGACCAAAGTAAAATACCTATTAAAGCATGACTAATATTAATATGAGCCTCAATTATCTTTAAAAAGCAGTCATATATTCAAGTGAGAAAAGTTGCTTATGCTTATTGTAGAATTTTAGAAAAGAAACAAGTAAAAGAATATGCAACTCCAGCTCGAAGAGAAAAATCACTGTTCATGTGTTAGTGAATATCCAATACTGCTTTTACTATGAGGCCTAGTTTTTAAATATTTTCCTAATTATATTCTTTCTTGTTTCTTCAATGTTTTCTGATCAAAAATCAAAACAGCCATTACCTTCCGTATTACTACTATGAGCTGTACCTTGCTTTGGTGGTTTAACCAGGAGAATTGCTTTTTTCTTGGGGTTTGATCAAAAGAATTTCAGCCAGGCTCGAGCCAAACTTAAACTTGATAAGTTCCACTTGTGAAACCAATATGTTTGTAATGATCTGCTAGCATGAATGAGGCCAAATTGTCCATTCCTCTGATAAAGCCATGTTTGTGTGTGCTTATGTGCTGAAGAGCTGCCCCTAAGTGTATTGTTTATGATTTGTTGTTTGTGTTTGGTATTTGTGTTAAAAATGTTCCTAGTTTAAAAGAAAAATTCTTTTTATAGGTTTTGCTTTCTCTCCTTTCATTTCAGTCTTCTGTATTGGTTTCCATGGAAACCGGGAATTTTTTCACTCAGCCCTGATCCAGAAAAATCAGGAACTTTTTATTCATAATGTTGAGTATATGTTCTCAGGAAAGACACACACACACACACACACACACACACACCACTTATTTATTTAGCTGAACATATAAACTATCTTGGTTGTAAAGGGCTTTGATTATGGGAATGAGACTATTATGGAAGCAAACTAGAATTTTGAACTCAGTAATTTACCTAACCTGCTTGATTTTTAGATAACAATCTTTTGTATTGGAGAATTGTTTGAAATCAAACTCTATATTAATAGTAATACTACAGTGATCACAAAATTCATGCATTTAGTTCTTTCGAATCAACTTAGTCATTTGATTTCCCATTATTATAAATTAAATTGTATATTAAATGTATTAAAATGCTTGTTAAAAATAATTTGGAGAATTTTGCAAAGAAGTCCTATGGAAAGAGATTGGTAAAGTATGAATTTAAAAAGAGTAAATATGACAAAAAGAAATTAGGAACCATATCCATTCTCCATGGGAGAGGTTTTTTATTATTAGATGGCACATTATGTAATGGACCATGTCCTTAACTCCATAGCTTATAGAGGTACAAATGTGGCAGGTTTTAAAAATGTCCTTTGTTCAAAGTAGGTAGAGTATCACTGAAACACTAATTCAATAAGGCAATTCTGTGATAAGGTTAAAATGATGTAATCTGACAAAGTATATAATCTTTGTCAGGAGCAAAATAAAAAAGAGGGTCACAGAGTCCCGGGTGCTGGAGGCCTGGCAGAGTTCTTGTATTTGTGCATTCTAGTGCAGTGGTGCCTATAGGAAGAGGAAGAAAGAGGGCATGGACACAATATCTATGATGCCTTACCCACTGTTCACTCCAACTAAACTAGGCTAGTTCTTAGAATGCCCAGTCCCAATGCTCAGTAAGTACTAATCAATGACGATGGTTACTAGGTTACTTCTAATTTGCTTTTCTAGTGATACGCATACATGAAAACTTACTTCTCCTACCTATTTGTCAAATTAGATGTCAGCTGTTCATGTTGTAGTTCAAGTGGATTTTATCTGTGACTGTAAAATTAGAAGTCTTGTCCTCAAGACTCATGCTTCACCATTTGATATGTGCTGTTCTGAGATTTGCTAGTGCTCCATGACATACCATTGTTCTATGTGTTAAATACAGGAATGTTGTTGAATGGACCCTCCCTTAACCAACCTGATTTGTGTTTTTGTCTTTTGCTCACAAAAAGTAGGGAATCCTAGAAATTTCTGTTTGTATGATGCCACATCCTTTTTCAAATGCTTGTGGCCATATATCATGATTGTTTAAGTGCTAAAATAGAACTTGAAAAGAATCCAGAGAGTAATGTTGATACATCTTGCAATAATGTATGCCCACGAAGCCATAGAACACACAGATGACAGAAACCCACAATCAACCTTTGGATTCTATTTTAATAATTTGATAAGAAAAGCCACTTGAAAAGAATATCAACCCTATTTTTACTACCTAGGAACTGACTTAACTTGGAGTTGATTTCCCTTACATTGTATCAAGGGGGTGGTTAGGGAAAAGTTGAGTCAGTGTTAGAAAAGCTAAAGGAAGATTAGTTAGTGACTTGGAGGAATACTCTTTAGATATATTGGAACTAATAATTGTATATGAGAACAACATGGCAGTTTAAATGTTTCCATTTTATATATATACGTGATTATATCCCCTGAAGGTATAGAGGATTAAACTATACTGTAGGAGCTTCTAATTTTTCAGTAACCAATAAAATTTGAACAGCTAACTGTTACCACCCCTATGCTTAGGTATCCTACAGTCTTTTGTGAAATAAGTATGTAAGCTCTTTTATGCAGTGTCACGGCAGCTCAATTTACCATTCAGTTACACCAATGTGGCTGCTTAATAGGCTGCTCTAATTTGTCTTTCCAGTGCTGGATTTTGATAGCTCTTGCTAAATACAGATATGAGTTAAGTGTTCTTTGTTCCTTGTCTTTTATTCTAATGTTTCACTTCTAAATTTATTTTCAAATTTATTGCAGAAGAAAAGTAATGGGGCACCAAATGGATTTTATGCAGAAATTGATTGGGAAAGATACGTGAGTATCAGAAGATTGTTTTTCTTTATTAAGTATTTCACAATTTGAAAATTAGTTGAGACACCTTATGCTTATAATAGGACATAGAAATAAGTGAAACATTCTCCATCTCATTAGGCAGTGCCTGGCTTAGGGTGGTTATATAGGTTCAGAGCCTTAGGGTTTGTTAGACTGAGTTCAAGAAATAACCCCTCTGCAGATCAATCAGCTGTGTGTGGCTTTGGGATAGTTATTTCCTGACCAACAGAAATGAAGTCAGTAGTTACTTTATAACATTGTTGAAAGGATTCGATGAGCTAATTATTTGCAGATCATTTCAGTTCCTGCCTAGCCTGTGATATGTGTTTAAAAAAAATGCCTTTTAAAATATTAACTCCAAATGTTGCAGTACTGTTCTATTTCTAAGCAGCTTTGAGAATTAAGTCAAGTCAGTTAACCTCTGGGGTTTGGTCTCATAGTGTCTTAGTCCATTCAGGCTGCTATAACAAAAATACTGTAAACTTAGTGGATTCTAAACAACATAAATTTATTTCTAACAGTTGTATAGGCTGAGAAGTCCATGGTCATGGTGCTGGCAAATGTAGTGTCTTTTGTGTCTGGTTGAGGGCCCATTTTCTGGTTTGTACCTGGTACCTTCTGGCTGTAACCTCAATGGGATCTCCTTTGTAAGGGCACTAATCCCAATGATGATGGCTCCTCCCTTAGGACTTAATTGCCTCCCAAAAGCCCCACTTCCTAACACCATCATTTTGGGGTTAAGATTTCAACATAGGAATTTCAGGGGAGTGCAAACATTCAGACCATAGCACAAAACAATTAATAGAACCTCATGGTACAGACTTTTCCCAGGTCAAGTGACAATCACTTGTTGCTTTTCAATGAGTGAGGGTGACTCTCAGCTAGGACCTAAACCCTCCATTTGATTCCCCTGGAAACTGATTTACATCATCATCACCCACTTCATCAACCACAACAGGACAGCCACAGTGATTCTTGGATATCTAATCATATAAAACATGTAAATCATATTCACGTCAAAGATCATCTCTATTTTACAGTAGGTGCCTAAATTCACAATCCCTACAAAATGCTTTTGCATGTATATCCTTTAGAGACTGTCTTGACCAAACCTCCCCTTGCATAAAAATTAAGTTTAATGTTAAAGCTTTTGCATTTGTTGATAATAACTTTATTTGTACAATAAATAATGCCACCCCTTATTGAATGTTCCCTATTTGTCAGTTATAATATTAAATGCTGTGAAATCCTTACCACCTTAAAAAGCAAATGCTACATTATTTGCATTTTATAGAAAAGAAAACCAAAGCTCAGCAGGTTAAATTCTTTTTTTTTTTAAAGTTTATCACTTTACCTTGAGAGAGAAAGAGAGAGAAATTGAGTAGGGGAGGGGCATAGAGAGACAGAGAGAGAGAGAATCCCAAGCAGGCTCTGTACTGTCAGCACAGAATCCAAATCGAAATGGGGCTCAAACTCAGGAACTTTGAGATCATAACCTGAGATGAAATCAAGATTTGGATGCCCAACCAGCTGAGCCACCCAGTTTCCCCAGCAGGTTAAATCCTTGATGCTACCCTCTCCTCCACTCTAAACTGTGTCACTCTGCCAACCTCATCACCTGATCCTCTCGTATCTGTTTCCCGGGACCGGGATCTTTTAGATATTTTTAGCAGTTGAAGCCTCTAAAATCTCTGCAGACCCCTCTGTTACCCTAAACCCGAATTGTTCACAAATAATGTGATAAAGGAAACTACTAAATATTAAGAAAATGTGATTTCTTTTCCCAGATTAATTCTTCTTTGCCAAGAAAGACTTCTATTAGTTTTTGTAGGATTCTTTAATACAAAAAATGGGATATTATAAGCAAACAAGAAGTATGACAATAAAAATATCAAATTACCCATCAAAGTATATATTACCCCATATAAACCCTACACTCCAGCACTGTCCCTGGTCAACATGTGAATACTTAAATGGAGCATAATTTTCCTCAAATGTGTTTAGTCCGTGAAACTAATCAGGTCACATAGGAATTATTGTTGTGATTATACATTAGACGTCATTTTCTCTGAGTAATAAGAAAAGTTTTATTCTTAAGAGATTATGTCATCTTGCCTTTGCCAGAGAGAGGTGAGAGTAGGGAAGGCCCCAGGTAAGATTAGCCTTTAAGCAAAACCCTTAAGTATAGTAGGGGTTAACTGGCAGAACATTTGAGAGAAGAGAATTCCAAGCAGAGAGAATGGCATTTATGAGGACCCTGAAATGGAAAAGGGCTTACGCACTGAAACCATAAAAATGAACAATGAAATGAAGGCCTTGCTGCTGAGGAGGATCTGGGAAGGGAGTCTCAGATGTAGAGCCCAGTCAGACAGGGCTGTGGGCTGCACAGTGGCCTTGGGCTTTCATTCCAAGTGCAGTGAGAAGCCAAGGTCAAGTTTTTTAGCAGGGAAGTGACCTCAATACACTTGGATTTTTAAAAAGATAACCTCAAGTACTGAAGAAGGGCAAGAGAGAAACAATAAACACTCAATAAATCGTGGCTTTTTTCCATAGCATTCAGGCCTTTTTTCTCTCTCTTTTTTTTTTTTTATTAAAGTTTTTTTTTTTTTTTATGTTTTATTTATTTCTAGGAGAGAGAGAGACAGCATGAGCAGGGGAGGGTCAGAGAGAGAGGGAGACACAGACTCTGAAACAGGGTCCAGGCTCTGAGCTGGCAGTCAGCACAGAGCCCGACGCGGGGCTCAAACCCACGAACCGTGAGATCATGACCTGAGCGAAAGTCGGACGCTCAACCGACTAAGCCACCCGGGCGCCCCAGGCCTTTTTTCTCTCTATGGTCATGGTGCTTTAATTGCTTCAGTGCCTCCAAAATCTCTCTCTCTAGCTCCGTCCTTTCTCTCTTCCAGCCTCTAACCTCCACTTTAAAAGAGCCACCTTTGAATGGCTTCACCCTCATCTCTAAGGCATAAGGGTATAGTCTCACATACCTGGAGTTCGGGCACAGGTCTGCCATTGGCTGGGTGTGTTTCCTTGCAAAATGGCATCTCATTTCTCTTAGTTTCCTCCTCAGTGACTGGGATAATTCTTTCCACATAGGATTGTTATGAAGGTTCAATGAAACAAAGTGGGGGTCACAGTACTTACATATAATAGGAACTCAAAGATAGTAATACTAATCCCAAACGGGCAGATTCTCTTTTATCTTTCCTTTCTTTAAAAATGTTAGTTGCCTGCTGTTACAATTAGTTCAGTCAGGAATAGCAGCAGTCTCCGAAGATTTGACATTAGAAATCTTGGAGTCTCCTTGAACCTTCCATCTCCTTTTTAGCCTATGACAGATGTTACAAAGAACTAAGCTTATTCTTTTTTCTTTTTTTTTTTTTATTTCTAGGAGAGAGAGAGAGAGAGACAGCATGAGGAGGGTCAGAGAGAGAGGGAGACACAGACTCTGAAGCAGGCTCCAGGCTCTGAGCTGGCAATCAGCACAGAGCCCGACGCGGGGCTCGAACCCACAAACCACAAGATCATGACCTAAGCAAAAGTCGGACGCTTAACTGACTAAGCCACCCAGGCGCCCCAGCCTGTGACTACTCTTTAGAGTGGTCTTGAATTCGGACAAGTTGGTCAGCCATTTATAACAATGTATCTACAAGTCACTTGATGTGAATTACCTTTAGGCAGGAGTTGAGGCCTAGGATAAGGCAACTCATACCATCCAATGGCGATTCCCAAAGAGGCANTCAGCACAGAGCCCGACGCGGGGCTCGAACCCACAAACCGCGAGATCATGACCTAAGCGAAAGTCGGACGCTTAACCGACTAAGCCACCCAGGCACCCCGAACTAAGCTTATTCTTAAAAAAGTCCTTGATTCATCACTTCCCACCACCAAGAACTTGGTCCATACTCTTAGCACATCTCCCCTGAGTTGATACAAGTTTTTGAATGAGCTTTTCTCTCTCCAGTCTCTTCTGCCCACAGTCTATTCCTGAAGCATGTTTCCAAAACATCTTTAGAGGCTACTTTCTACCCTGAGAAGCTGCAGCAGCTGTATCAAGTTTGAACTCTTCCTCCAGTGCATTGGCCATCCATGGTCTTATTTCCTATGTTTCCCACTGTGCAGCTTCCTTTCCAGTCAGTCATCTTTGTTGTTGCCTCTGTCTTTCCCCATCTGAACCATACTGTCCATTCCTGTCTTGGTGTCTCTTCCTTACAGCCTCTTCCTTACCACCGACTCCCATCCACCCTCTCCATCTGTCCTGAAAGGCACATACAGACCCCTTGGATTCATTCAAGCTTCCCTAGTTTCCTCGTCCTTCAAACTCCTGGCACTGATGTTTTGTGATTTTTTTAATTTTTAAAAAAATTTTTTTTGAGAGAGAGAGAGAGAGACAGTGAATGAGTGACAGATGGGGCAGAGAGGGAGACACAGAATCTGAAGAAGGCTCCAGGCTCCTAGCTGTCAGCACAGAGCCTGACATGGGGTTTGTACCCATAAACTGTGAGATCATGACCTAAGCTGAAGTCAGATGCTCAACCGAGTGAGACACCCAGGCGCCATGATGTTTTGTGTATTATATTTTACTTTTTAAAATGTTTTGCCTGCCAAAATACATTTCAATTTTCCAGAGGAAAAATAATTTGCATTTTGTATTCCCCTATGTTGCTTAGCACAGACCTTGGCTTACACGAAACACATGATAAATTCTCTTTGAATGTTTCCTTTCCTTGACAGTTGATTCCTAGTTTTTTTTTTTTTTTCTCTGATAGGAAGACTCTCCAGGTATTTTTGAATAAATATCTATGTATATATTGCTCAGCATCCACTTCCAAAGGTTAAAATAAGAGACCTGTCTACATCTTTAAATAGAAAACTCTAGAAGGAAAATTAATAATTCCTTGATCATTGTCAGGATAATAAATGCTGAATGTGCACTTGTATTTTATAGAACTCCCCTGAGCTGGATGAAGAAGGCTACAGCATCAGACCCGAGGAACCCGGCTATATCCTTTATTGTATTTTTATTTTAATCTTTATTTTCTATAGGAAAACTGTATGATAAAGTCAGATTTTTGAAAAGGTGCTGAAATCACCCGAGCTTCCTGAGTCCTGTTGTCCCTAATATTAGAAATGAATAAACAGCAGAGAACAGCCTGATCACTAACAAGCAGGCATTTTGCCTTGATCTATTCATAGAAAAGAGAGAGAGGAGAAAGAAAAATGTGCTGAGAATCGACTGTGTACATTCTGGGTACCAGGTTGTCTGCTAAAACCTGATATGACCATGTCATTTATTGTGACTAGAAAATAACTCTTACCTGTGCTCTCCCCACAAACCATCTCTGGGCAGAGAGCATCCCTGAAGTAGTGGAAACTCATCACAAATCATCCCAAGAGTGGCCTTCCTCTCTTCATGGACAGGGAAGCTCCCCTGGGCCTGTCCTCATTTGTGCTGAGTGGGATGTAACAAATGGCCACCTGCAGCATGTTCTTAGGAAAGGTTAATAAATTTGAACCCTTTCTTGATCTGCTCTTTTATTTGTCTGTGTATTTTCCTTTGATTTCCTGCCATCTAAGGATACCTTTGCTGCCTCTATATGCAGTCACTCTTGTCTTATACTCATCATTGCTTCCTAATAGAAAAAAGAGTCCTGTATCCTTAACTGTGTTCTACCTACCAAAGGAAAGCACTTTTATTCTTCGAGTGAATCAGAAGAGGAAGAAGAATCACACAAGAAATTCAATATCAAGATTAAGCCATTGCAATCTAAAGACATTGTTAAGAGTGCTGTGACCGTGGATGAGCTGAAGGCATCGATAGGCAACATTGCACTTTCCCCATCACCAGTGGTGAGTGGTGTTTATGCCAAGTTTTGACAAGTTTGGACATAGAGCTATGTTCTGCCAAATAGATCAGAAACCCCTTAAACCGGAGGCTGGCATGTAGTCACTCTTTTATGAATTTTATGTGAATCTTAAACAGCTCATTCTGTTTTAGAAAGGTATGTTCAATTTATATTTCAGTTTTTGTGCTTTTCAAAATGACAAAAAATGCATGGGACCACATTTCTTTTTGGCTTAGTTTCCTGTAAGCATTTGAAAAAGAAAGAAAAACAACAAAAAGTATCCAGAGTTACTTCTGAAGTAATTAAAAATAATATGAAGTTTACATATTTACTAACAGTGATTTTATTTAAGTTTATTTATTTACTTAGAGAGAGAGCTGGGGAGGGGCAGAGAGGGAGAGAGAGAATCCAAGCAGTCTCCACACTGGCAGTATGGAGCCAGATGCAGGGCTCATACTCGGGAACCATGAGATCATGACCTGAACGTAAATCTAGAGTCAGACGCTTAACCGACTGAGCCACCCAGGTGGCCCTACTAACAGTGATTTTTAAAAACATATCGTAGTGTCTTTTTATTTTTTTATAACATAACACCTAGAAACTCATGGGAAGAAAACTAAGGAAATTATTTTTCTTAATAAAACAAAACAAAACACCAACCTTTTCATTGCTCTGCTCCCAAAAGAAATATTAATCTAATATCACAGATCATAATCTAAAGATACTAAGATCCATAATCTTCATTATATTTTATTATGAAATTGTTTTAAATACTCTCACCTTTCAGGCACCTAAAATATAGGCAGCCCTTACTGACATTATTCAATTGATATTTTTCTACAACTTGTTCTTCTTTCCTCCAGTTCTCCTATACTAGATTTCTATAGTTGCTGAATTCTGAGTTCCAACATGTACAGTATTTTTTCAGTGGTGTTTGCTAAATGCTACAACTGTTTTCTAAAATTAGCTGTGATGAGCAGATGAAGGTTCTCAGACTAGCAGCTAACATGTTCTTGGCATCTTCTTCAGAAAGATGTGATCTTCCTACAGCACCCTTCTGACAGAGGTAGTTAATAATTGCTGAACCATTTTTGAGGCACTTTTTAAAAAATCTCAACTAAACTTTCTAAAGAAGTTGTAATCATCTATCCTTTGAGAATAAATATTTGCCTTCCTGGGATGAATAAAATCTATAATGATGGCTTCTTCAGTGCTTAGTGCTTATAATGGCCTTTATCACTACTGTTAGTGATGAATAAAATGATTGCTAATGATAATCAACCATAAGAAATGATATTTCAGGTGATTTTTAATATATGCCACTTGCTATTTTAAGATGTTTCCCTGAAAAAAAGGAGCCATGAAATATATGAGTTTTCTTTCCCTTTGACAATGGCAAGTACAGATTTAAAACCCACAGTTAGGGCTGCCATACCAGTGATTTCTAGTAAGAGGGGCATTTTAAGTCCATACATTTTGACTTTCAGTTGACATCTTTCAAATAATTTTTCACTTACTGAACTGTTTTTTAAAATTAATTGTAAAAATTTATCTAAGCTCCTGAAACCAGTTTATATCTACTTTTCTGTAGGGTCTAATACACATAGTGGGCATTTGAAAGTTACCTAGGGGTAAGTGTTAAAAGATCATGGGATTAAATGAGCAGATTTATGTGAAAGAAAACTTACCAAAAAAGGGGAAAAGAAAGAAAAGAGAACTTCCTAAAACAGTAGCAGGCATACAGTATGTATTTGCCAAAAGCTAGTTGCATCTAGGAAAGAAGAAATCCTCTCTATCGAAAAGAGTGTTTCCTCGGGTTCTAGCAGATATTCCTCCAACCAGCTATGTTGCTGATGGTGCAGCAAGAAGAGCGGTTGTTTACTCTGAGCTCTTCTCAACACCTATTTTCAAGGTAATATCTTGACAGAATGTGGTTAAGACTCTAGTTAGGGACACCCAGAGAGAGTGATTACCGACATTAGGCTGTTTCTGCATGCCAGCAACACCACAAATTAAGGGACTCTCAGACCCCCTACCACCACCATCCCCTGTACCCCTGGCTTGTTCCTTCTAATGTGGGAACTTGGCTCTCCCCATTACTATGATTCCCCAATATTTGTGATTTTTGATATTTAGTATAGGGGAATGAGCTATTATTGCTACTTTAGGGAAAGGTAAGCGTGTTTCTGGATATACATAAGTAAAAAGAGAGATTGTAACTGGGAACATATTCTGGGTTTTAGAATCCTTAACATCTTCTAGATAATCCATGTGTACCTATATTTCAGAAATTACATATGCGGTGTGTTATCTCTGGAACCAGATAAGTAGAAAAAACCTCCAAAATCCAGCTAGTGCCATGATAAAAATGGCAGATCCTTTGTGCAACTTTAGATGTTTCCAACCAAATAATCAGACATTTGTACGTGTACACTTAATTCAGGTGCAAAAAGGGAAATAGAGTCTACAGTAGTTAATAATATATCAGTATATTTCACATCGGTTATGGTTCTTATGCTACAATATCTTCAATCATTACACTAATAGAAATAGAGGAAATTCCAAATGGTAAGCTATTCCTAACAATGGCTTATGCTGGATTTCTCATTTCTGTTTCTTTTAAAGAATTTTAAGATTAAGTTGTGTTTCACTTTTTTTGTTCATCCATCTGTGAATATGTATCAATGAATTTTAACCCATTTGATATCTCTTATCATGAATTTCTAATCATTTTATTTGAATAGCTCCCTGTACACACTACATGGTCAAATTACTCAATAAATGGATGGATGGATGGATGAATGGATGGATGGATGGATGGTTGAATGAATGAATGCATAATATATATCTATGTGTATATATAATATAAACCTATCTGAAAATTACTTGTCCCCAAAACAAAGCATCAGAAGCATAGAAAATCAGGGTATTAATTGCTGGTAAAAATCCTACTGTATAGACAAACATAATTTTAGTCCAGATCTTTCCTTAGCCCTTGAGTTTTATACAGAAGTAAAATATAATGTGGGCCAGGATAAGGCTGAGCACCAAAAAAGAAGAGGGAATGATGTAAGGGTTAACTCACAGGAAAGCATGTTAATTTCCATTCTTTTCATGTTGTAGTCTCCTGTTACTATGCTGATTGGGCAAAGAATGAACAGCACTGAGATTTTAGTTGTTGATTTGTTATCTGTACAAGTTAGAATACTGGTACAGCTGCTTTAACACAGAGCAAAATAGTAATGGCTTAAACAAAATAAGTGGTGTATTTTTCTCTCATGTAAAAGTCAAAACTGCTAGGCACCTCAGATGGGTAATTGAGCCGTAGGGGTTATTCAAGAACCCAGAAACTATCGTTCACCTTTCTGAGGCTAATGCTGTCTTACTACCCACCTTCAGTCATCTCCATGTTCCAACCTTGGGATGAAGGAAAGAGAAAATAAAAGGCAAGTGATTTCCTTTAAAGGTTTCACTCAGAGTCGGCAAACATCACTACCACTAGCCATATTTTAGTCACATGTCCACATTAGCTATAAGGGAGTCTGGGAAATGTAGTTTTTGGCAGAGTTCTGCCAAAGACTACAAAGGAGTAAATGAACAGTGGTGAGTATTGACAATTTCTGCCACTGTATCTTAAATAATCTCAGATTACCTCTGGGAATTCATCAAGAAATGGATTTTTCCCCATTTACCTTCTATTATTCCTAGAATCTATTGAACCCAGGAAGTTTCCTTTTAAAAATTTCTAATCACTAAATTCTAAATATGAGTGATGCTATGCTACATGCTAGCAAGGAGCAGATAAACAGAAACAAATTTCATTAAAATACCAGCTTGTTTTGTTGATACTGACCCTTTCAATAGTAATAGTGCTTCCTCTGTCTTACAAAGTACACTGCTTTTTTGAGGCAGGCTGTTTCATTATTGAAAGAAGTTAGTAAGCCCAAATGCTATCTCTGTGTAACTTTTGTCCTTGATTGTAGCTGTGCTGTTTAGAAGATTAACAAAGGACAAAAAACCTTTTCCAACTCCAAGTTTACTGTGCAACTTATTTATTAAGGAGTGACCTTGGGCTCAACTCTTGTGGGGTAGGGTGGGGCACGTAAGCTGTGTTACACGCCCAGCAACAGCCTGAGCTGACCATACAAGGAACTCTAGAGCTAAACTGTCCCTTCAGAGTTGTCCTGAGTTTGATTGACATGCATAACCTTTATACTACTACATCAGTCTGTTCTCTGATATGGGCAAGCTAAGAAGGGGAATGACCTTGGGTGAGGTGGCTTTCTGGAGCTGAAGCAGATCCTGAAGTGTTGTACCAATAGCACACTCCTAGCAGCTGCTACAAGAAGCCCCTTCGAAGAGGAATCTGTGTGGTAGCTTTTGGTGTCCACCCCAAATTTTCTATACCTGAAATAGTGCTATTTATATATCATTGCCATTCAATATGTGCTTGTGTGCGTGAGTAAATGAGTGAGTGAACAAATACGTGAGCTGGACCAGGCCAAAGACAGAACACTGTGGCATGTCACCACCCTCTGATTTTTCATCCATTGATAACACTTCAGCCTCCTTGTTCGCCTTACAATGACTTGCCTAACTGTCCTCTCATCCTGGTCACGTATTCCCATTTTGGCCAAACCAATCATGGAGATGTCATTAAGCACAAAGATGAATTTGAGAGACATGAGATGCCTGCTTGCCTAAATCTGCCAGACCAGAAAAACTATACAGAGATAATGATGGGTTTAATATGCCATAACTATTTCTTTGTGCTGGCGCCTAAGATTATAACCTTTTCCAAGTGCTTTCTAGTCATTTGTTTACATCATTTTCTCTAGAATTTTGGATTAATAGGAAACAGTTTTGTGGTCTGCTATGTTCTACCTGTGTAACCTTAGAAAAGCCCCATCATTGTTTGGAGATTCTGTTTCCTTTTCTGTAAGGTGAGGTCTTTATAGCCTTTTTGTGCAGATTACTGTTGATGTCCAGCACACCACATCCTCT